GGCTGGAATATATGTCATGCTGATGTAGGCTCTTCACTGACTGATCTGTAAGGATTCTAGGCCTCAGCATCGAAGGCAAAAGCTAAGACAGATGAGGGGCTATGCTAAGCTGGATCAGAACAACCACTGGCATGCACACGATCTATGCCTAAGAGTGGGCCTGGTTGGGGAGCTAGGGTGATGTCCTTGCAGGGTAGCAGTTCCCACTGGTGAGTATGGGGGCCAGAGTGTGGGCTGGATTCTGATCTGGATATGGCTGCAGTCTCCCTTAACACAAGTGTGAACTGGGACTGGATGCACCAAGCCAGGCTAGACTCCGGCACCATCTGTGTCCTAAAGAACAGGGTAAATGTAAGATGGACTAGGCTAGGTCTTTGCCCTAGCTGAGCCATGTGTGAGCTGTATCTGGATATGGATGGGCCTTGGGTGGGCTGAAAGATCCAATAGTAAGAACCAGAATGGGGTGGATGCCAGTCAGGAAAGGTCATTGTTCCTGTCACAACAGGAGGAGGACTGAGTAGGGCTTGCCCATGGAGCCACCAGTGTGAGTATAAGATCTGGTATTGGGAGAGGTTCTGGTGGAGGAGTCTTTGGAACTCTTCTGTCAGGACACAGTACTTGCAGGTGAGCATAACAACCATAATAGGGAGCAGCCTAGACCAGGCCAGGGAATTGTACCCACCAGCATACATTTGGCATAGGTTGGGGGCAGACCAGGCTGAACCAGTTCACATCACCCACTGGTGAATCCAAGCACCAGAACAGTGTGGATCAGACCAGGTTTTGTTGCAACAAATATCAGTACACATTATGGCTGGGATTGGGTGCCTACTGGACTGGAGTAGGCTGTAACACCCACCCGTGGTGGCAGGAATTGGGTGTGGGCTGGGCTGAGTCAGACTACAACACCCACTGCCAACAACCAAGTTGAGGGGGGCCATGCCAGACTGAGCTGCAGCACCTAACCAGCACATGTGAAAACCAGGGGGAAGGGGCAAAGCTGGAAGGGGACTGTCAGGGAATACCATGCCAAATAATCAACCTACTGAAGAGCATGAGTCAGGATTTGGGCAGACCAGACTGGAATGGCTACAACATCTGTGAGCCTCATGTGAGTTAGACCAGGAAGAAGGCAGGCTGGGCTGACTGTTCTTACTGGTGCAAACATAAATCAGAGTGGGTGAGGGTTTGTTAGGTGTTGCTGCAGCATCAGCTGGAAGATGCTGGCAAAGGGACCTAATTCTGTCAAAACTGCAAAACCACCTGGAGAATGCATTATCTTGCAGTTGGAGTGGCCCAGTAGGGAAACAGTGGGCACTTGCCTCTGGAGTTATTACTCCCACTGGAGAGCATTAAAGCCAGGACTGGGACAGGGATGGCTAGACAGCACGGCACTTGACAGCATGTGTGTGGACAGGATAGTGGTGTAGGTTGTGCTGAACTAGGCTTCAATGCCCATTGACATGTATGAGAGCTGAATGGGATGTGGGACAGGCTAAACTACTATTTTGTTGCACATACTGGCAATCATGGGAGCCAGGGTAGGAGGCAGTCCTGGTGGGGATTATTGAGAGTAGCCCTGACTAGACTACACCTCCCACTGGTTTGCCTGAAAGCCAAGTGTGAAGTAGACAGAATCAAGCTTGACTAACACCCATCAGTTCATGTGGAAGACAGGGCTGGAAACAGAACTGACCCAGCTTTTGCAACTACTAGCATGTGCATAAACCATTTGGGGTGAAGGACTGTGCTGGCCCTTGTACTGGCAAGCACACACAAGAATCAGGTCTGAGATCATCCCAGACAAAGTTTCTTTTGGGATTCCTTCAACTCAACTGCTGATCTCCAAACTCCAACCATCAAGAGACTATGTCAGCCAGTGGATTCTGAAGAGATTTCATTATGCTTGCCGTTTATCTCTCCCCTTACTCTAGATACAGAAAAAATAAAAATATTAATGTAGAAACAATGGTCTTACCCAATTTCCTGTGGCCCTGGACTTTTTGTGTCCTAATTGACTAGTAAAGATTAACAAAATAAAAGAATTAATTAAAAAAAAGTGAACTATTGTAGCCAGTGGATTCTGGAGAGATTTCATCATGCTTGGAATGACAAGATTGGCAACAATTCAGAACTGTTGAACTACCAAAACCACTTGAGTAGGACCCTGGGAGCATTCCCCCATTGGGGTCCTGGCATGGGCGGGAGGCTGGGTGGGACTTTTCCCTTTATCTTTCTCCTTACCCTAGATTCTGAAAATAATAATAACAATAATAATAATAATAATAATGTTGAAACAAGGTCTTACCCACTTTCCTGTAGTCCTTGACCCTTTGTGCCCTCATCAACTATGTGAAGACTATCAGACGAGATCGGGCGTGTTCAGGGCGGTATGGCCATAGACCATGAAGACTATCAAATGAAATAATTAAAAAGAATAAAACTTTAAAACCTAAAGATGATTATAGTATTTTATATGTGGGTGTATAAATAAATATATACTTTGAAATCTGTGATTTGATTGTGAAAATTAACCCAATGATACAGAATACAAGGAATCATATCTTTTCTGAAAAATTACAAGTAAATATGTATAGTTTTATTTACAGAAAAGGTAATAACATTTCCAATATCATGTCATTTTTGTCTTAAAGCATAAAGAAATTAAGTTAGACAAAGTTGCCAACAGCAATAGAAGAAAGGTAACTAAGCACTTGGCTAAGAAACTAGTTGAATATGCATTAATTACAATGTCTGAGAATGCATTTTCATATTTGGTTAAAATCACCTTTACTACACCTATCTGTCATGAGTTCAACATTTGACTTAAAGAGTATCTATGTATGCAGGAAGAAGTATACAACAACTGGTTTTGCATAAGTTTACATAGAGAATGTAGTAAGATTATCCACCGTACAAATCATGAATCCAAGCCTTTGGCCTCAGGTTTTCAAAAAAAATACTAGTTATTACTACATCATGATTGTCAAATATTTTGAGTATATGCAATCATGCTTATCTTTAAATCTATCTACCAAGTATGGACATGTTTATTACCTATTGTAACCACACTGTTGAATTACTGTTAGTAAAAGAATGCAGGCTTAACATCAAGATTTAAAGGATTTCTCTACCATTTTCCTTGCAGAAGTTGCAAACTAAAAACAATTCAAGTGCAAATAATTTTATTGCATTAACCAAATATTTAAAGTGTTAGTGAAGAGAGCAAACACCCATGGCCAAGAGTATAATCAATCTAAAAAACAGTCAAATCAAGAGATAAAGATCCATAAATAACTGGAGGAAAAACAACAATGAAGACTTTCTGAATCTTAGATAACGGTTATAACTGCTTGTATCATGTTATGATAATTTACTGTAAATAACCTTAACCATAGGCTAAAATAGATTTAAGTTTTGGCTCTGTAATTTGGTGTTAATTTGTACATATTTTTATTTGTACTAAAATGAGGCTTACCAGTTTTTCATTTTTATTCAGATGTATAACATATTCTTATATGTAATATTATACAATTATAAATGTTTAATTATTGGCTGTAGGTTTTAAAAAATAATGCCAGTTATATATTATTTGCATAACAATATTATTACAATATAACTAAAAACATTTCCAAGCTCTTTCACTCCCAAAACAGGTGACAGTTATTCATTGCAAGGATACCAGTCCTCAACAGACCCGGTGGTGAGGGCTAACAACAAAGCAGATCAGACTGTAAGACAACTGGCCACCTAGGCAGCTGTGGCCACACTGATGTTACTCTCCTCCTCTCTTAAACCTGCCTATTTGCTACAAGATTGACAGAACCTGCTTGCTGCAGCAGGCCAGTAGCACCCAGATGGGTGGATTTTCTTGGAGAGGACAAAATACCCTTGAGCTCTCACATAGTATTCCTACTTACATTTATTCACAATTCTTTGCATGTGGGATCTGATTCATTACTCAAGTTCTTATCACTTCTCAGCCTTTTGGCTAAGAACAAGTGCATTACTCAGGTTCCTGACACCTCTATTTTCCTGCCCATTACGCTCCCTGTCCCACCTGCTCCACTCAAAACAAAGATGCCTACTCATCAAGTTAGAGAACACCAACCAGGAGAAAACTTTAGATTTTATTCATATGCCCACTCACAAAAAAATTCTGTTATTTATTCGCCAACTCCCTACAAACTCTCCTCCCCTTGCTGACTATCTGCCTTATCTGATTCCTGTTTGCAAGCTGCTCTGGGAGCATGTGGACTGGTATCTTCCACATTCCAATCTAACCTTTTCAGTGGATTCAGACACGCTTCCTCTCTAACCAGGAGATTCGGTTCTGACTCTTCACCTGGTCTCACTTCAGCCACGGAGGACTGGACCTCAGATAGTGCTTGTCACCACACCCAGTGCAGCCAAATTTCTTGACCACACCTCAAACCTTTCCAGCCATTACCTCATCTTACTGGGAGGTTCAACAGACAGGGCCTACTATACTAACCTTTAAACACTAAGATGCCTCCCCTGCCTCTTGAACATACTAGTAATCCTACTCTACCTTCTGATAACTGAGCAGATCCCTACATATGACAGATCACATCACTGGCAGAAATAGCTTTACAAACTGCCAAGCACTGAATCTTCCAAAAACAAGTAGAGGGAAAACCTATATATTCCTAAAAAAGAAAAAACAAGTGTGTTACTACTATCAATAAATCAGGCATAGTGAACAAAACCCAGGTAACAACTCTAATCTTGATATTTAGAAATCCACACTCATGTCATTGTTCATTCTGATACTCACTCCACTGATAATTATAGGTCCCTTACTAACTATTGCCCCTTGCCTCCTGAGGTTTATCCAAGAAAAATTTTGTGTGGCCTAATGAGTTACTTTCTATTTTAAAGATTTATGTATTTTCATTGCAAAGTCAGATATACAGAGAGGTGGAGAGACAGAAAGGAAGATCTTCCATCTGATGATTTACTCCCCAAGTGAATGTAACAGCCGGTTCTACACCAATCTGAAGCCAGGAGCCAGGACCATCTTCTGGTTCTCCCACATGAGCACAGGTTCCCAAGGCTTTGGACTATCCTTGACTGCTGTCCCAGGCTACAAGCAGGGAGTTGGATGAAAAGTGGGGCTGCAGGGACCAGAACCGATGCCCATTTGGAATTTCAGAACATTCAAGACATTAGTCACTAGGCCATGGCAACAGGCCCTAACAAGTTAGTTCCAAGCAGATGTTACTGCACACCTACATTCCAGTACCTGTGGTGCTACCTCCAGACCTCAATTAGGGACAATACCGCCTTCCAGCAGGAAGTACCCAGATTTACTTTGTCCCCCATTTTTTTATTATCAAGAGGCTGGAATAATGGTTATCAAAGTTACGGGAAGTGGATGGACACCACAGTGACCTCAAGCAGAGATCTGGGATGCTGCAAAGGTAGCTAAAGCCAGGTATGGGCCAATGATGGACAAAGACCACATTCCTTGTACTAGCAGGATTCAGGCAGGACTGATGCCAGCACCAGAGGGGTTGTAAAACCTTTATTTCTGCTATCCTACTTGTCTTTCCCACTTGCAGTCCTCTCCTCTCCTGTACATTCCTCCACCTCACGGGAAAGGTTCAGTAATGGACTTCTCTTTGATTACAAAGGTCTGTTTGTACTTGGATGGCATTTTCTTTCTTGCGTGGTGGGCAGATCTATCAGTGGATAATATGTATTGATTAGTAAAAGCAAATAAGAACTTTTTCAGTGAAAGCAGTTATTCCACAAATGTTCTGGGTGGTATCTGGTTTAGTGTCCTGCAGGCAAAGAGGAATGATGATACTGATGCACAAGTAAGGGAAGGAATAAGCTTTTATAAGGCAGCTAATAAAACATTCCTCATAGTGGAAGGGGCTGTGGAAAGAGACTCTTTCCATAAGTTGAAATTCCTATTTTGGGGTTATTTATATAATTCAAATGAACCTATCTTTAAATGCCTACAGGACGATTATTGCCCCTTACTTTTAGTACGCAAAGGGTAAATTTTGTGTATCTAAGAAAAAAATCTCTTTTTCTAGTTTTGTTGAAATGACCTGGAGTGATTTGTTGCAATTAGATCTTAATACTGTTTTTGCATTGTGCTTGAGTCACCACATTTCATATACATAGTCTATGGATTGTAAGACGGAGATCTAGTCTAAGAAGGCATCTTGCTTCTTTTTGCTTTCGTATCGCTGAGATCTATTTAAAAATAAAAATACAGTACAGTCAAGAAGTGTTTAAAGAATGCATCAATAGACATGAGTTGGGGCAAGGCTATGTAAAATAATGTTCACTACATCCAATACCTTATGTAGTAATAAAAAGCCACTGAATGTTTTGAAACATACTGCTGGTTGTAATGCAATTTGGATAATTTAGGCCTGTTTCAGAGATCTTCATCCTGCTCTTTTATTAAGCTATTTTCTTTTTTTATTATTTATTTTATTTTCATTTAAAAGTCAGATATACAGAGAGGAGGAGAGACAGAGAGAAAGATCTTCCGTCCAATGATTCACTCCCCAAGTGAATACAATGGCCAGTGCTGCACCAATCTGAAGCCAGGAGACAGGAACTTCTTCCAGGTCTCCCACATGGGCACAAGTTCCCAAGGCTTTGGACTATCCTTGACTGCTTTCCCAGGGTACCAGCAGGGAGCTGGATGGGAAGTAGAGCTGCTGGGATTACAACCAGCACCCATATGGGATCCTGCCATGTTCAAGATGAGGACTTTAGCCACTAGGCCATGGTGTCGTGCACTAAGCTGTTTTCAGCAATCCACTTTCAACTTCATGCTGACTTTTCACAGCTGAGAGCCTCAGCAATTAGGAAATAGACTTTGGCATTCAATGGACTAGGAAATTCAAGCACCGCTTTCATTTGGTCTTATTAAAATCCTTTAATGTACAGTCTTCAATTTTCTTTACAATAGCAATGTTATTTCCCATTTCAAAACTTATGTTAACATAACACATGGTATGAGGTTATTATAATTATCAGTGGTATGAATCCTTGCAATCTTGATGCAGATATTATGCAGCAGCAGCTTAACTGCTTCTTAGGATACCTGCCTTTCTTATTAAAGTACCCAGTTATGAAGTTCATCTGATTCTCTGAAACAGCTTCCTGCTAATGTACATTTTGTGAGGCCACAAATGATATGATCAAATTCTTGGATTTATATAACCCATCTAGGACACTTAGGAGCTCTTGGAGCCCTTAGGATCTGAGTTTTAGTTTAACCCAATTCTATCTGTTGCAATTATTTGGAGCATGAATCAGCAAATGGAAAATCCCAGACTGTTTTTTTCCTGTCACTGTGCTTTTCAAACAAACAAATATTGTTGGTGGCCCCTATAAATGATCATGATTGGCTGCTCCCCATTCTAATAACTTAAAGCAAACTGTTGACTGTTAGGAGCAACAGACTTACGGGCCTTAGATTTGGACTGCCTCACAACCTGCTGCATTGCAAAGCCTGCCTTGGGCAAGCAGGGCCACAGCAAGCAGGATATTAGGCCAGAGCATCCTGTGTAGAGCAAGTGAGATAGACCCTCCACCCTGTTCCTGTTCAAATAATTAATTCCTCCCCTGTTTCAATATGGATGATTAGTTCCTTCCCTGCCTCAAGGAAAAAAAATTAGTTCCAGGAAACCTCTCTCCTTTTCCTCCTCTTTAGAGAAGCAGGTATATGTATGAGGAGTAAAATAAAGAGCATTGGGCATTCTTTTGTGTTGATTTACTTATTTTATTTTTATTGGAAAGGTGGATATACAGAGAGGAGAGACAGAGAGGAAGATCTTCCATTTGATGATTCACTTCCCAAGTGACCATAATGGCTGGAGCTGAGCCAATCTGAAGCCAGGAGCTCTTCTGGGTCTCCTGCTTGGGTGCAGGTTCCCAAAGCTTTGGGCCGTTCTTGACTGCTTTCCCAGGCCACAAACAGAGAGCTGAATGAGAAGTGGAGTTGCTGGGATTAGAACCAGCGCCCATATGGGATCCTGGCACGTGCAAGGCAAGGACCTTAACCACTAGGCCATTCTGTCAGGTCCTGGGCACTCTTTTCTACCAAGTACATGTGTGATGTGTTTCTTGGGACAGCAACTCAGTGGCTAGCAGCCCAGGATTCCCAGTCCACCCTCAGGGCTTGAGCATCATGTCCTGCTGGTCAGGACAGTTGACTTTTCAAAATTTCATTTTCAAGTTTCATATTGGATCAAGATTCTATCATAATCTGACATCTTTTAGCATTAATCAGACAACATGACTTGGGAGTTAAAAAGATTTGCATGCATTTGGGAAGCTAAATTTTGTTTAGTACATAAGATTCTTGCCTTCCCAATTTTCACATATTCCTTATAATATATTATGGGGAGCCGTGCAGTTGGGTCGGATGGCATGGGTGTGTGATGAACACCGCTCCTCAGTTAGCAAGGCTGCGAGGAGTTTCTGGCTGCGTGGCAAGGCCCGGCAGAATGTCTCTGGTCACCTCATTGCTGCCTCACCCATTGTATGGAATTCAGTCACCTCTCTGATGTTTCATAGAATCCTTCTGAGGGTGTTGCTGTTGCTTTTCTGCTAATGTGAAGTGATTCCTGTAACTGGTATGACACCTCAAATTGATCTATCATGTTATGATAAAAACACCTGTAGTAACGTAAGGCTATGACACACAGTTAAAAGTGTACAATAATACAATTGAACTCACTATGTTTCCAAACTTCCTGTTATGTGCCCACTTTTGTCCTAAAGTTTGCCCTAGTATAAGTAATGCTTTCCTTAAGAAATGGCTTGATAATATCTTGCATCAGATGGCAATCATGGAGGTACAAAGAGTTTGTTTACCATGCGTCTCCAACTGTTACAACACATGATATGATGCATTTTAGTTTCTTAGCACAAGAAAGCAAAATATGTGGGGCATCTTCTAAAAGGAAACAAAACAAAACCCCCTCAAAATAGCTTAAATCTCAACCTTATACTGGCACTTATATTTAGGGAAAGAAAAACAATTTATAAGAATTTCTATCTTATATTGGTATTTATATTTAGGGAAAGAAAATAGTTTATATAGATGAAAGGAAGTTTCTTGTAAGAGGCCCTCTGTTTGTAGATTAGCTGAATTGCCTTGGTCCCTTTCACTGCCCTTTAACAAAAGAATGAAAAACAATTGAATCAGCACTAGGTGATGGTGACTGTAATTAATGATTTGATTATAAAATTTAGCAAAGAATCTATGTTATATGCTTTTATAAAATCCTTCTACTTATGATCTTTTAATTATGTATTCTTAATATTTTAGCAATATTAGTTTGATTGTGTTTAGTAAAAGTTGATTTTGAGTATAAGTAAACTACTTGTCACTATGTAACTGCATGCGCTGCCAACCGTGGAGTTCCTGGTTTCAGCCAGGTGATTGCAGGTTTCAATGAGTAATGGTTTGTTAAGAATGTTTTCTTTGAAATAGAAAAATATTTTTTAGGATTGCTTCTTGCATTTTCATAACCATGATGTAATGAAAAATGAAACAACTGGATGTTGTGAAAAAAACTTGTGATGATTTATGTATAAATAAAGAAGGCAACTTTTCTGAGTTGTCCATTATGAGCATCATGCCATAGTGGTCCATGTCTTATCTCTTCCTATCATCTCGCCGATCCACGCATCCTTTGCAAGCTCTCAGTCAGCCAGAGCTGGTCCCCGGCAATATATTGTGCGCAGTCCCTTCTCTAAAATCCAGTCTCAACTAAGTCTAAATTTAATTCAAAAGTTTATAGGTTTACTTGAATTTCAAGACAAACATTAATTATGAGTTATATATTTGCAATGTTCAATGATAGGACAAGCACAGGGTGTATCTTTGCAGTCTAAAAAATAGCATGGTGATTATAAAGGATTAGTAAAGCAGACCATACTGAACATTATCAAGATGGCATTAAATACTAATGTTCCAGGACTTGCATCATTGGCAAGATGTGGCAG